CTCAGCAAATATTTATTGAGCACAAACACGTGCCAGGGCCGCTGAGCACTAGCCTCCGAGAGTTTTTCAGGTCTACTTTAAAACATAAAGTGTGACTCTCTTCCCATCCGCCAAGCTTCCCAGTTATCAGCCATTCACCAGGACTTGTTATTCTGAAGATTTCTTCAAAATTTCCCGTTCTGAGCCGGCCTGATTCACATAAAAGCCTTGGTAATTGCCCAAATTCACTTGCTCCCCTCTCCGCCACTTGCACCCTCTCTGAACCTCCCTGCACTTCCCAGCACCACTTGGCTCAAGTGCTTCTGGTTTCAACCTCTCCAAGCTTCTCTTCCAAAAATTCTTTCTGCTCAGTTCTGAAAGTGCTGATCGGGAGAATTTTGAAGCTACAAGTTGTCCCTAGTTCCAGTCCAAACTAGGAGCTCTCCCTCAAGCTTTCTGATCTCCTTCCACTCTTACTATCCCTTTTAAGAGCTCACCGACTCCTAAAATTGCAATAACCACCTCCAGAGATCTCATCAAAATTCAATAATGCAGGGCTTCCCCGGTGGCGCAGTGGTTGAGAGTCCGCCTGCCGATGCAGGGGACGTGGGTTCGTGCCCCGGTCTGGGAAGATCCCACATGCCGCGGAGCGGCTGGGCCCGTGAGCCATGGCCTCTGAGCCTGCGCGTCCGTAGCCTGTGCTCCGCAACGGGAGAGGCCACAACAGTGAGAGGCCCGCGTAGCGCAAAAAACAAAAAAAAATTCAATAATGCAGGCCTTTGTTAACTCATCCTAAACTCCACCAACAGCCGCCTAGCTGGCCTCCTTCATTCCAGCTCTTCCCACTCTAATACTTCCTTTGTACACCTTGCCACACGTATCTTCCCAAACACGTTTAAGTGCTCATTTTTAATCAGTCACCGGTCCAGGTGTCAGAGACACAAGCCACGGTAATGTACAGTGATTAAGGACACTTCTTTAGAGACGGCCAGCTCTGCCACTTCTTAGAAGTTACTTAACCACTCTACATCTTGGTTTCCTCATTTGAAAAATAAGCATAATAAGGGCATGTAAGTTTCAGGGTTATTGAGAGAATTAAAGGAGACAATGCATGGAAAGCACTTGGCAGCGTACCTGGCACATGGCAAGCTCTCGGTACAAGTAAACTTACATAACCAACAACATGAAAGGGAGCTGGCAGGTTAGCAGCAGAGATGAGCATGTACATTCCACAAGTAAGGGATGGAAGAAGTTATAGCACGTGGTGGTGGTTGTGAGCAAAAAACAGTGAGTGATAAATTCTGAAGATGACGTGGAGCCAGACGTTAAAGATTCAAATGGAATATTCTAGTTGGAGAAGAGGGGAAAAGTTTTCCAGGTAGAATACCTGAGCAAAGGCACAGCAGCAGAGAAAGGAGAGCTTCTGTGTAATAAAGCAATGGCCATCTGAGGCTCTGGGCTGATACTGACAAGACCAGGAGCGCCTTAAAGAGAAGTACATTGACTTTGGACACAAGAGAGTCGTTCATTCACTCAGCAACTGAGCACAGATTTTATACCAGGCACTGTGCAGATGACAAGATTTTCAACCCGGTCCCTGCCCTCATGAAGCTTCTATTTGAAAAGACAGTAATCAAGAAATCAAAACAAGAACACTCCAGATAAGTTATACATACTATTAAGAAAAGAAAGCAGAATCATATGAATGAGATTAACTCATGAGTTAATGAGTCGAGGCCAAGGAAAGCCACCCTGAGGAGGGGGCATCTGAGTTGAGTCACAAGAAGGCCCAGGTGGAAGAATGTCCACAGGAATGACAAGAACAACGCTGTTGAGGCGTGAAGGAGCTGGTCATATTGAAGGAACGGAAAGATAGCCAGTGCAGGGTTGCGTGGTGAGAGAGTGGAGGAGAGATCGTCAGGGAGGGTGGGCAAGGCCCTGGTCACAATGAAGCTTGGTAGGCCACAAAAGAGAGTTTGGATTTTATTCTAAAGTGCACTGGGAAGCCACTGAAGGGTTTCCAGATAGGATATGACATCTGATTTGTGTTTTTAAAAGTTCTCTCTGGGGGACCTGCCTGGTGGCGCAGTGGTTAAGAATCTACCTGCCAGTGCAGGGGACATGGGTCCGACCCCTGGTCCGGGAAGATCCCACATGCCGTAGAGCAACTAAGCCCATGTGCCACAACCACTGAGCCTGCGCTCGAGAGCCCGCGAACCACAACTACTGAGCCCACGCACCTAGAGCCCGTGCTCCACAACAAGAGAAGCCACCCCAATGAGAAGCCCGCGCACTGCAAGGAAGAGCAGTCCCTGCTCACCGCAACTAGAGAAAGCCTGCAGGCAGCAATGACGACTCAACGCAACCAAAAATTAATTAATTAATTAAAAAAAGAAAAAAAACCTCTCTCTGGGACTTCCCTGGTGGCGCAATGGTTAAGAATCCGCCTGCCAATGTAGGGGACACGGGTTCAACCCCTGGTCTGTGAAGATCCCACATGCCGTGAAGCAACTAAGCCCTTGTGCCACAACTAACGAGCCTGCGCTCTAGAGCCCGTGAGCCACAACTACTGAAGCCTGCATGCTCTAGGGCTTGCATGCCACAACTACTGAGCCCACGTGCTGCAACTATGGAAGCCCGTGCACCTAGAGCCCATGCCCCGCAACAAGAGAAGCCACCGCAGTGAGAAGCCCACGCACTGCAACAACGAGTAGCCCCCGCTCGCTGCAAGTAGAGAAAGCCTGCACGCAGCAACGAAGACCCAACACAGCCAAAAAAAAAAAAAAAAAAAAAACTCTCCCTGGCTGCCATGGGGCAAGTGGACTGTAGAAGGAAGAGCAGAAGGAAACTGTCAGGAGCCAGCACAGTAGTCCAAACCAGAGAAAACAGCCTAGACTTAGGTCATTTAGATGTGATGCCTGGAATCTCAGTTTACACCAACTTACACAGTCTGCTCACTTTGAAACGCCCACTCCCTTCCACACAGCTCAGTTGGCACATAGGAGGCTTAGTTGGTAATTTTCAATCGATTGACTGTGTCTCCCCCAAGTCACCCCCATTTCCTTTCCTCCTTCTACCCTTGTTTCTTTTCCACCCTATATCTCAAGTACCCATTTGCCCATCACCTGACTCAGCCTTTACGAGGTCCTGCTGTTTCCACTCTATTCTTTGCTCTCTCGTCACCCCACTGCCCACAAAAGTTTCATGAACTAGATATAAAAGAGATAATTATTTTCTGTCCTATCCCAGAAGCACTCAGGAATTACCGTTTTCACAGAGCACTAACAGAAGCCTGGGGGTTATTATGATCTTGACAATACAACTGGAACACATTCTGCATGTTAAGGACACTGTCTCCTCACATTCGTTCCAGCCTGTTCTCCCCGCTGCAGCCAGAGAAATCTTTCAGGAGGAGAATGTAATCATGATCTCATTAGCTCTCATTCTCTCTCTGGCTCCTCTCTCTTTCTCTCTCTCTCTGTATGTTATGACCCCAGAGTACATCTCACACCATTCCCCTCATTGCTCCCTATGGCTCCATCCACAATGGCCTTCTTTCAGGTCTTCTAACCAGATGTGCCTCCTCTGCTGTTCTTTGTCTCCAAAGCCCTTGGATCTCCCTCTTCCCTCAGTTGACACTTATTCTTTAGATCTTTGCCCAAATTTTCTTCCTTAGCAAAATCTGTGATCTGAGACCAAAGCTGGAACCATTGTGATATACACTCACAGCACTGCATATCTTCCTTTCTAAGCACGCATCACAGTTTATAAATAATACATTTATTTGTGTGACTGATTAAAATGGTTATTCACACACACACATACACACACACACACAGACACACTCAATGGGATCATCTAGTAGTAAACTATTACCAGGAAGAAGAGGAGAGAGTCAGTGATACCCATTTTGCTACAAACTCAAGTTTTCTCTGCCTCTTTACAGAAACCATCCTGACGTCAACATGGCCCTTGTTTCAAGACCTGTCATCCTTCTGAGAAGGTCCATCATTCTCTTCACAGCCCTCCACTTCAGACTTGACCTCCCTTCGACACCTCTTACCAGAGCAGTAACCACATCGTCATGTGATGGGCACAGGAAAGTGGGGAGTGAGAATTCAATGAGCTCCCACTCCTATACTGGTTGCCACACAATAAACATCATTTTACAGAGCTCTTTCACAAACAGCACCTCATTTCATCCTCAAAATCACCCTGTGAGGTAAGCAAAGCCGATATTATCATTCCCATTTTGCTAGATGGGGAAACTGTGGTTCAAAGAGGCAAGTGACTTACTCAAGGTCACAAAGCCTGTGAGAGGCAGATGTAGGATTTGAACCTACAGTCTCTGACCCCTAGTCCAATGCTTTACCTTACATTAGCCACCCCAACAGTTGGGTTATCAGCTACTGAAACCTAGTTTCCTCATCCCTTTAAATAAACACCTGTTCCTGACCCCTTAATACTTCCCCAGCCCATTTCCACTTCCCTATCCAGAACTTGACAGCTGGCTGTGCAACGGGATGGAGGGAGTCATAAAGCTGACCACACTGACAAGGTTTAGGGTTTGGTCTCAGCCTCAAGTCTTTTCCAGCTCTTCCTCTGAGCCAGTGAGGAACCAGAAACCCCCTGAAAGAAAAACACAAAGAGGAGACATGCCTCACCAGAACAAGGTCCCTGGCTACCCTTTCTCCCACGTTCCAGCAGGACACGGCAAGGCCAGAAGCCAGCCTCCTTCCCAGCAAGGAGGATCCGAGGAGAACAGAGGTCACCGGCCGCGGGCCGTCAGGGCTCCTCAGCCGGCCACGCAAAGGATGCGGCTCCCCCTTTTGGCCCAAGGTCACCCATTCGCAGCCCGGGCCCGATCCCCGACCGCCCGGAGCGCCCCCTGGTGTCCCGAGCTGGCCTCCCCTCGCCCTCAGGGAGTGGCCTGCGGAGCCCCGACTCGGGGGCAGAGAAAGGAGGGTGGGCAGAGGATGAGGAGGCTGAGCCCCGGGGAGGGGCGGGAGGCGGGGCCCTACCTGATAGCTGAGGACGCCGTCCGGCTCGTTACTCCCGGCCCGCATGGCGGAGCCCAACTAGGTCTCGCCCGCGGGCTCCAGGCTGAACGTCAGCAGTCCAAGCACTCTGGTCGGGTTTGAGGAGATCGCCCGAGCGGCGACCCCTACCCTGGAGCCAACAGTCAACCATCAACCGCCGCCGCCTCCTCCATAGCCGCCGGCCCGCGAGGCCTCGCCGCAGCCAATCAACGCGCGGCCTGTGCGGCCAATCAGGGCGCGGAGCACCGGAGGCCGCTGTCCGGCGGTACCCTGGACTACCAGGAGGAGGAGGAGGGAGCCGGGAGAGCCAACCGCTCCGGGGCCCGGTTGCCATGGAAACCGCCTCCCTCCCTTCAGGGCCCTCTGGGTTTGAAGGTCCTTCCGACTGCTTGCTAGAGATTGAAAATTTCGTGGTTCTATTTGTGGATGCACCTGACCCTTGAAAACTGAGAAAGTATCGGTTTTGTCTATCGTGATTTTGTTCCTTGGGTGTTGATTTTTAAATTCTGGGGAACCATCCCTTGGGGTTGCAGAAGGAAGGAACTGAAGGTGAGGGGGAAGGGCCTTCTAAAATTACTTGTTAATCCTCGAGCTAGTGGCCAGTTTAGAGAGTATTAATGAGAAGCAGGCAGGCAGTGATCCGATCCCCTCCATGGACTCACTGCAGTTTAGGTCTGCTCCCTGGGTCTCAGGTTGGCAGTACCAGCACAGAGTTGAGCTAAGGATGATTGTTGAAATAATTCCACAGAAATGCTTCCAGCTTTTCTGAGAAATGATCTAAAGCAAATTATTTAACAACAGAAGAACTACTGATCTAAGGCAAGGTTAGAAACCCATGAGTAACACATTCAGTTTGATTTGGGTTTAAAAGAAAAGAGAGGCTGGCCATAATCCAGCCAATCCTCTGTCCCCAAGAGGAGGAAAGGGGTTTTTGCTTTATGTCCACTATCAGACTGTAGGTGAGTCCACATTATTAAAGGAAAAAGAACAGTTGCAAATCATCCTCAGCCTCCAAAGAAGCTACACTTGGGGAAAATAGTATGGTTGGTCCATGTTAAAGTTTCAACCCCTGCATTACCACTCCTTGTGTTGGCCCTAAAATCTGAAACAAGGTTGTGCTTCAGTGTCCCTGAGGCAGAACCATGTTTCTGGTCTCTGGTTTAAGACCTTGGTCCTGTTTCTTAGTGTTCATTGCCATAGTCTCTTCCCTAATTCATCACTTTACTAATCCTGTCCCTTGAATCTGGAATTCACCCCCATTTTTGCCCATCGAAATCTTAATCATTCTTCAAAGTTAGTCTCAAAGGCTACCTCTTCCAAGAAACCTCAACTCTCCCCAACACCCCTAGGAGATGTTATCACTCCCTCCTCTGAATCTTCATAGCACCTCATAACTTTCTTATAGCAGTTACCATGCTGTGGTTAAGTACTTTCATTAAATGTTGACTTTAGCTTACTACAATATTGTAAGTTTTTGAAACTTACTATAATATTGTAAGTTTTTGAAATAAGTTAGCTTACTATAATATTGTAAGTTTTTGCAAAATTATTTTTCTTATGCCCTTCTGTATACTTCACAGAGCCTCAAAAGAATGCTGGGCACATAGAACACAGCTATAAATATGTAAGTTATACAAGTTGTATAAATATATATACATAATTTATAAATACATAAGTGAATATATGTGCTTTTAATTCAGTCTAACCAAAAACATATTGAACACCTACTAAGGACAAGCCCAAATGGCACTGAAGATGCAGAGAAATCTAAAATAAAATACAAGGAGTTCCCTGGTGGCACAGTGGTTGATAGTCTGCCTGCCAATGCAGGGGACACGGGTCCGAACCCTGATCCAGGAGGATCCCACATGCCGCAGAGCAACTAGGCCCGTGAGCCACAACTACTGAGCCTGTGCTCTGGAGCCCACGAGCCACAACTACTGAGCCCAAGTGCCACAAGTATTGAAGCCCACACACCTAGAGCCCGTGCTCCGAAGCAAGAGAGGCCACCACAATGAGAGGCCTGCGCGCTGCAGCAAAGAGTGGCCCCTGCTCGTCGCAGCTAGAGAAAGCCCGCGCGCATCAGCGAAGACCCAACACAGCCAAAAATAAATAAATAAAAATTAATTAATTAATTAAAAATAAAATAAAATACATATCTCCGAAGGGCTTACAGTCTAATCAGGGAAATAGTATATATGTTAATATGATGACAAGATGATAGAACATAAAACAAGAGCCATATGAGTAATATAAACAACAAAGTTTATAAAAATTCAGAAAAGAAAATGATCTTTATGACTTGGGACACTTTAGGAACATGACACAGAGGACATGGGTTTGGGCTAAATCTGAAAACAATCAAGCCAAGGTAAGGAGAGCAAGCATCTCAATTCTTGGGCAAAGATTTAACAATAGGAATGCACATGACCCATTCAGGCTAGCCACGACTTGGACCAAAGCAGAAAGTTATAGAGAAGAGCAGTAGGAAGTAAAAATTGTGGTAAAGAAAAACTATGACCAAATTATAGAGAGCCAGCTAATTAGTTCAGACTTTCTTTTCTCTCATGTGGTAGAAAGTAGGACACTGCTGAAAATTTTAAAGAACACTTCCATGCACCAGGCCCAGGGTTTAAATGCACTGTGTCATTTAATATTCCTAACTCTCCATTATTTCTCCATTTCACTGTTAAGAAAACTGAGGCTGAGAAGTTTAGCAGCTTTCTCAAGGTTAAGCAGTCATGAAGCTTGGATTTGATCATTTATTAATTCAGAACATATTTACTGAGAATCTGTGTATTCAGCATTGAGTGTTAGGGAAACAGCAATAAAACAAACAGGGTCTTGATCTCTTGAGCCTTACAGTCTAGTGGGGAGACAGCAAACAAGTAAAAAGACAAGACAGGGGCTTCCCAAGTGGCGCAGTGGTTGAGAGTCTGCCTGCTAATGCAGGGGACACGGGTTCGAGCCCTGGTCTGGGAGGATCCCACATACCGCGGAGCGGCTGGGCTCGTGAGCCATGGCTGCTGAGCCTGCGTGTCCGGAGCCTGTGCTCCGCAACGGGAGAGGCCACGGCAGTGAGAGGCCCACGTACTGCAAAATAAAATAAAATAAAAAATAAAAGACAAGACAATTACAGGTTATAAGAGCTGCTGTGAAGTAAATTGCAAAGTTATGTGATAGAGTAATGGGCATGGGGGTGGGGAGAGCTACGTTAGATGGGGTGGTTAGGGGGGCTTCTCTGAGGAGGTGAGGAGAGTCTCATCTGATGAGATGAGTCAAGGATGAATCTGTCTGATTCTAGAGTTCTTGGCCACAATGCAACACTGTCCTATATAAATGGTACCATTGCTGAAATCTGCCACCGGGGGCAAGATGGGTTAGAGGGGGAAACGTGAGGCAGGGGGTCATTTATACGGACTCTGGTAACGTGGTAATTCAGGAGGGGCCAAGGATGGCAACCAAAGGGAAGATGTGTCCTCCATTCCCCACTCCCTAGAAAGCCAGCTCCCATGGTGCTCTCATGAGAGTGGGCATGAGTGGTCAGGGCAGGGAGAATGAGGAGCTAGAGGATTCCTGGGAGCTCTAGTGGGTCTGATTTTCCTCCAGTTCAAATGTAGAAAAAGTCAGAGCCTCTGGCCCTTGACTCAGGGTCAAGAGCCCCATCTTCTGGTCTGTTGTGCAAATTACAAAAGGAACTAGGTTGCCCTGAGGCAGCTGCTCTCTGGAGCGCTGCAGATAGGCTCTCCCCTCCCAGGGCTGTTTTGGTCTCTCCTTCCCAAAGGAGGCTAGCTCACTTGGCTCCAGGCTCCAGGTTCTAGGCTCCCAGCCACTACTGCTCCCTACACTGCTTGGAAAAGTGCAGATACGCTGCTCTCAGCCTGTCCAGCAAAGAGGCGTGGGAGGAGCTAGAAGGAGGATTTTCAGCCAAGGACACCACCTCACAGTGATTATTCTTCTAAAGAAAGCAGAAAAAACAGCAAAACAGAACTCAGAAACTTCTGAGAGCTGCACAGAATTCTTGGCCTAGAAGGAATCATAAAATGGACAGGAAAATGCAAAATATGGGTAAAGACAGAGACCACACACACACACACACACACACACACACACACACACACACACACACACACACACACACACACACACACACACACACACACACAAGCAAGGAGGCTTGCAGCAACTCTATGAGGTAGGTTCTATCATCCCATTTTACAGATGAGAACACTGAAGACTGAGGCTTAGAGATGTAAGTTGCCCCAGTTCACGCAGCAAGCACAGTTAATAAATGGAGACGCTGAGCTCTCAGCTCAGATGTATCTGATTGCAGAGTGCACATGCTTAACCACCTACTGCCTCCCATGGTGCTGCCTGGGCTTTTGTCCTTCCCTAACTTTTGTAGCCTCCCACCCTCTCTTTGTGGCTTCCAAATGTGACTATCCTTCCAACTTTGTCTCTAGATCCTTCCTTCTCTAGTACCAGTGTTCTTAGACTTTGGTGGGGAGAGGTTAGGTCTTGAACCCCCGGGGACATGGTAAAATCTGTGGGACTCTCTTTTCAGGTAAGTAAAAAAAGCCCCAAATTTTCCACTAGGCACCTTACCTATATTATTATTATTTTTTTAATTTATGGGGAACAAGAGCCCAGTTTTTTTATTGGATCATTTCTTGCATTTGAAGTACTCCTTGATGACATCCTTGGCCTGAGACTCTTTGCTGTAGTCCTTAACCACCACACAATTGCAACCAACCACTTTACAGGGTTTTCCCTCTCTGTCAGTTTTACAGAGGCCTACCCATTCCCCTAGTTTCTTGTTGTCATCAACCTTAATCAGGTTGATCTGGTGCTCAGCACAAAGGGCCTCCATGGGAGGCCCGCGTACCACGGAAAAAAAAAAAAAAAAAAGAGCCGCCAGGGCAGAGGTTCTAGTCTTTTCTTACCGTTAGGGAGCTCCCAATTCCCAGCTGCAACTTATACCTGATTTGCTTTCTCCTGCTTCCTCTTATACATCTACACCCAAGGAAATGTTGGAGGAAAAGACGTCAGGATCCGAGGAAAGACTTAATTAGGGCTTGCTGTGCAGTTGTCTGGGAGCATTTCCTGTGAAGGGAGTGGGGAGGGGGAGAGAGACACTATTCTTTGTCAAGCTGAAAAGGTATGCAGGTGCATGATATGCCTTCAGCTCTTACCAA